CGCTCGCTGACCCCTCTGGGGGTCAGATCATTGCGACCTCCTCCACTGTCCTTCCCTGTCCTGCTGTCCCGTCGGGCACACTGTCAAGTCTCCACCTCCCCTCGTTCTCTACGAACTTGGTGGCGGGTTGTGCGCTTCAGGATGGGGGTGTTCACCAGTTCACCCCTGCCTACGAGCGTGTGACATACTGCACGTGTGCTCGGACGGGCCGTCACCTCGCTACCTTCACTCGGCAGCCGGGGTCGGACCTGTACACACTGACCACTGAGTCCCCTCAGGTAGCGGCGTCTGCGTCTGCGTCTGCGTCAGGTCAGCTGTCTGCCCCCTGCTCGTGTCGCTCTCTAGCGCACAAGACTGTCCTCTGGCACCACCGACTTGGTCACCCGTCAGTGCAGCGCCTTCGGGGCATGCACTCCCGGTACCTTGTCTCTGGTCTTCCTCGGGTACTCCCTCCCCTCCCACCCTCCCTTGCTCCTCCTTGTCTTCCCTGTGTCGAGGGGCGGCAGCGCGCTGCCCCTCACTCCTCCTCGTTCCCCCCGACGACTGCTCCTTTGCAGACGCTCCACATGGACGTGTGGGGCCCAGCCCGCGTCCGTGGTCAGGGCCAGGAGAGGTACTTCTTGATCGTCGTTGACGACTACTCGCGCTACACCACGGTCTTCCCCTTGCGCACCAAGGGTGAAGTCCCTGATGTTCTGATCCCTTGGATCAGCAGAGCACGTCTTCAGCTGCGAGAGCGTTTTCGCTCGGAGTTTCCTGTCCTGCGCTTGCACTTTGACAGAGGTGGCGAGTTCTCCTCCGACCTCTTGGCAGCCTACTGTGCAGAGCACGGCATTCGCCAGTCGTTCACGCTTCCGGCCTCTCCACAGCAGAATGGGGTTGCTGAGCGCCGCATTGGCTTGGTCATGGAGGTCGCTCGTACCTCCTTAGTCCACGCGGCTGCCCCCCACTTTCTGTGGCCGTTTGCGGTCCGGTACGCTGCGCATCAGCTCAACCTCTGGCCCCGTGTCTCCGCTCCGGAGACCTCGCCCACACTGCTGTGGACGGGGGAGGTTGGCGATGCGTCACGCTTCCGTGTCTGGGGATCCCGAGCTTTTGTTCGCGACACGTCTGCGGACAAGCTCTCCTCTCGCACTGCTCCCTGTGTCTTTCTTGGCTTTGTCCCGGATGCGTCTGGCTGGCAGTTTTACCACCCCGCCTCGCACCGCGTCTTCCCCTCTCAGGACGTCACTTTTGACGAGTCCGTGCCCTTCTACCGCCTCTTCCCCTACCGCACTGCCCCGCTCCCTCCCCCGCCTCTCTTCCTCGCGCCAGGTGCTACAGTGGTAGACCCCCTTCCCCCTCAGGGTGCCGCTCCCTCAGGTGTCTCTCAGGTAGACCCGGTTGAGCCTGCCGAGGTAGCTGTCGACTCGCGTCCTGCTAGAGGTGCTGAGCCTGAGCATGCGGAGCCTGAGCGTGCGGAGCCTGCGCGGGCGGAGCCTAGGGGTGCTGAGTCTGGGGGTGCTGAGACTGGGGGTGCTGAGCCTGGGGGTGCTGAGACTGGGGGTGCTGAGCCTGGGGGTGCTGGGTCTGGGGGTGCTGCGCCTGGAGCTGCTGAGTCTGGGGGTGCTGAGCCTGGTGGTGTTGCAGTTGACTGTGAGGCGCCTAGAGGACCTCCCTCTTCGCAGCAGCTACGTGAGTGGTACTCACGGTACTGCAGCCTCCGGCGGGGTGCGTCTCGGGCTCGTGGTGCTACTGGAGTTGGTACTCGTGTTTCCCCACCACGGCGGGAGCCGCCCTCTTCCCCACAGCTTCGAGAGTGGTACGCTCGGCACATTAGTCTCCGGAGCGGAGCTGCTGGTGCTGGGGTCCCCGGAGTTGACGCTGCTGCGGGTGCTGCGGACCCTGGTGCTGGAGGTGCTGCTGCTACTGGCGGTGCTGCTGGAGGTGCTGCTCGTACTGAGGACCCGGGCGTTGGAGCTACTGCGGGTGCTGCGGACCCTGGTGCTGGAGGTGCTGCTGGTGCTGCTGGAGGTGCTGCTACTGCTGCTGGAGTGGAGGACCCGGCGAGTGGAGCTTCTGCTGGTCCTGAGGACCCTGCCGCTGGTGTCTCTGCTGGTTCGGGAGTTGCTGCACGGCCACGACCGTACTTCGTTCCGCTCCTTCAGCAGGTTCTTGGTCAGCCTCCTCCTCCTTGTTCTCCTCTCGCCTTAGAGTGTCCGCCGTCTTTCCACTCACAGCCACAGTTACCGCCTGCCTCCCCACTCCCTGTGCCTGCTCCTTACATTGGTCCGACTGGAGGTCTTGCTGAGAGACGTGAGCCTGCGTCACGTCCTGTGTCACCTGCGTCTCGTCGAGCGTCGCCTGTTCGTGCTGCTACCACTGGTCGTTGTGTCCCGCGTCAGCGTCCTCCTGCTGTCCCAGGCACTCACCAGATGGCGCTTCGTCAGTCCACTGCTCCGCAGCGTGTCGCTCTCCCGTCGCCTCCTGCGTCCTCTCTTCCTGCTCTTGCTGACCCGGAGTCAGACACCCTTCGCGCTGCCAGTCCTACTGTCACACTTCTCCTGGCTACGGTTGTCACTGACCCTTCCTTTGAGTCCGCTGCTGCGTCTGCCTTAGTCACTGAGCTTGTCGACTTTGCAGCTGCGTGTCGTCTAGACTACGCTGCGAGTCTTGTTGCTGAGTCTGAGTCTGTCTGTCCTCCGTCCGTCGGGGGTGAGTGTGCTCTTGGCACGGACGTTCTTGAGGACAGGCAGGAGGAGTTTGGTTGCCTTGCCGCTGCTTTGCCCCATCTCGTGTCCATGCTTGTTGCCCCTGAGGGAGACCCGGATGCACCAGACATCCCGACCCCACGCTCTTACGCAGAGGCGATGGTCGGTCCCTACTCCTCTCAGTGGCAGTCAGCCATGGACACAGAGATGGCTTCCTGGAAGTCCACTGGCACCTACGTCGACGAGGTTCCCCCACCTGGGGCGAACATCGTCAGTGGCATGTGGATTTTCAGGGTGAAGCGGCCGCCGGGCTCTCCGCCTGTCTTCAAGGCGCGTTACGTTGCACGAGGCTTCAGTCAGCGAGAGGGGGTTGACTTCTTCCAGACCTTCTCCCCGACCCCGAAGATGACCACTCTTCGGGTTCTACTACACGTCGCCGCTCAGCGTGACTACGAGCTCCACTCTCTTGACTTCAGCACAGCTTTCTTGCAGGGTAGCCTGCACGAGGAGATCTGGCTGCGCCGCCCACCTGGCTTCACTGGGTGGTTCCCTCCTGGTACCCAGTGGAGCCTCCGGCGGCCAGTCTACGGTCTCCGCCAGGCGCCACGTGAGTGGCACGACACACTGAGGACTACACTTGCGGCTCTTGGGTTCGCTCCTTCTACTGCTGACCCGTCGCTGTTTCTACGCACCGACACCTCACTGCCGCCGTTCTACATCCTCGTGTACGTCGACGACTTGGTCTTTGCCACTTCTGACACAGCTGGTCTCGCTCACGTGAAGTCCGAGCTGCAGAAGAGACACACGTGCACAGACCTGGGTGAACTGACAAGCTATCTTGGCTTGCGGATCACCCGGGACAGAGCACGGCGCACCATCACCTTGACTCAGTCACACATGGTGCAGCAGGTCCTTCAGCGCTTCGGCTTCACGTACTCCTCGCCTCAGTCCACTCCTCTGCCTACGGGACACTCGCTCTCAGCTCTGCCTTCGGATGAGTCCGTAGAGCCGAGTGGTCCATATCCAGAGCTTGTGGGCTGCCTCATGTACGTGATGACCTGCACTCGACCTGACCTTGCATACCCTCTCAGCATCTTAGCACGCTATGTCGCTCCCGGCCGTCACCGGAAGGAGCACATGGATGCAGCTAAGAGGGTGTTGCGCTACTTGTGCAGTACGTCGGGCATGGGGCTAGTGCTTGGAGGGCGAGACCGGCCTGTTCTCACTGGGCACTCAGACGCTTCTTGGGCAGACGACCAGGCTACTCAGTGGTCGTCTCAGGGTTACACCTTCAGTCTTGGCTCTGGCTCTGTCTCTTGGCGTTCTACTCGTTCTTCTGTTCTCAGCTCCAGCTGTGAGGCTGAGATCTACGCCACGGCCATGGCTGCCCAGGAGCTTCGCTGGCTCACCTACCTGCTGACTGACCTTGGAGAGCAGCCTCGTTCTCCTCCAGTGCTGTACGTCGACAACAAGGCAACCATAGCCTTGTGTCAGGAGCACAGACTGGAGCACAGGACGAAGCACATTGCTCTGCGTTACTTTCTAGCTCGAGAGCTACAGCAGCGTGGTCAGCTTCTTCTGCGTTACGTGGCCACTGAGGCCAACACTGCTGATGTGTTCACCAAGGCGCTTCCGCCTGTTGACCATCAGCGTTTTTGCACTCTTCTAGGTCTTGTGCCGACTGTTCCTCACTTGCTTACTTCTTGACTTTGCCTGTACTGTGATCATTATATATATACCTGCATGTTTGCCCTTGCTAGGTTGTGATCATTGTACCTCTTGCTCTTTTATAAAACTGCATGTGAACTGGTCTTGTGACCGCTTACTTGTGCTTGGAATTTGTGTGGAATCCTCGAGATCCACCCTGAGCTTGTTTGCCTTGCTTTGCCTTGACTGGTCTTGTGACCCCTAGGTCTCCCCCACTTTGCCTATGGGGGTGTGTCAAACATTATATGTTTGTGTGGTTCTAGGCTGTAGTGGGTCACACCATAGGGGGTATACCAGTTTAGGGTTTCATATTTGTACTGCTGTTCCTGTTAGTCACACACATTCATATTAGCTACAGAGGTAGCCAAAAACGCAGATGAACAGTGACGCGCAGAATTCTGCCATCCGAACAGTTCGCGCGCGACACAGAACCTGCAATGTGATTGGCGCCAAACCAATCCCTCAAAAACCAAGCCAAAAACGAAGCAGCGCTCCAAAATTTGGTTCGGTTTCGGAGCAGCACCAGACTCAATTGCCCTGCCAAAGTAACTTCACCAAACTAACTTGAACAAAAGTAACTTTTGGGGGGCCGTCAAATTTGGGATGTCCCCCTCCCGTCACCCACCTTCACCGTCGCCCTCGCTTTCCCCCACTGTCGCTTACGCTCCCACCCATCGTCGCTCACGCTTCCCCCTACCTTCTCCCACGCTTCCCCTCTCATCAGCCACGCTTCCTCCCACCGTCGCCCTCGCTTCCTCCCACCGTCGCCCTCGCTTCCTCCCACCGTTGCCCTCGCTTCCTCCCACCGTCGCCCTCGCTTCCTCCCACCGTCGCCCTCGCTTCCTCCCACCGTCGCCCTCGCTTCCTCCCACCGTCGCCCTCGCTTCCTCCCACCGTCGACCTCCCTTCTCTCCCACCTCTCTCCATGTCGTCATTACTCCCCTGCCTATCACGTTCCCCCTCTTCACCATCGCGTCTCCACCCATGCCGCCCACCCTCTCATCCCTTCCCATCGCATTTAGGGTCGTCGTTGTACTCATTCCCTATTGCCTCGTTATCTCACTCATGCTCTCCCCATTACCACCTTTTCTACTCCTACCATCGCCCATGGTGACCACCCCACCCTTGCACCCTTATTTCCTTCTCATTCTCCCTCCCCATCAGCCTCTCACCCACCCTGGGCGGGGAGGTATGGCGGGCTGGGCTGGGAGCTGGGAAAGGGGTCGTGACTTGTTCGCTGTGGGGTGTGGAAGGGTGCGTGGTCAGCAGCACCCACCCTTTTCTCTCTTGCACTGACCTCCTCTCCTCTCTCGCACCAACCCCGCACGCATGGCAGGTGGTGATGAGGCTTTGGAGCAGAGTGTTGGGGGCACAGCCAGGGCAGCGCGTGCAGGCGGGCAGCAAAGAGTGCAATACTGCAGGGGGCGGGTTAGGGGAGCGGGGGAGGCGGGGATGAGGGAGAGAGGGTGCAGGGATCCTTCTATCCCCCTTATACCCTGCCACACTTTTACCTCTTGCCCTCCTCCCTTACTCCGTTCCGTCGTTCCCCCTCAGCCGTCCTCCTCTCCCTCTCCCTTCCTCCCTTCCTCCATCTCTTTGCCTCACTACCCTCTTTACCCTCTCTGTTGCCCGTCCTCCCTTCCTACCGTCCTCCCTTCCTCCTGTCCTCCCTTCCTCCCGTCCTCCCTTCCTGTCTTTCTTCCTCTCCTCATCCTCCCTCGATGCAGTCCCCCTTACTCTTTCCATCTCCCACTCTCCCTCTCCCTTCCTCACGCCAACCCTGCTCCTCCGTTACACCCTTCTACCCAAACCCTTGTACCCAGCCGCACATTTTCCTCTCATCCCCCCATCATCTCATCCCCCCATCATCTCATCCCCCCATCATCTCATCCCCCCATCATCTCATCCCCCCATTATCTCATCCGCCCATCATCTCATCCCCCCATCATCTCATCCCCCCATCATCTCATCCGCCCATCATCTCATCCACCCATTATCTCATCCGCCCATCATCTCATCCGCCCATCATCTCATCCCCCCATCATCTTATCCCCCCATCACCTCATCCCCCCATCATCTCATCCGCCCATCATCTCATCCAGTCGGGATGAGTATAGGGTTTGATGATACTAGTCGTCTACAATAGCTATACCATGTATTGTTATGGATTTTGGTTGGATGCGTCTCATAATACACCACATCGTAGTTTGGAGCATTACGAATAAGTGCAACAAAGCAAAATAATGTTCCAGTAATGTTGCCAAGACAAGACTATAAGCAAAAGCACAAAGCTAGGAGTTGGTAACTTTTCAACCCACTCCTGTTGGGACCCATGGTCCTGGGCACCTGTACAAGCATGGTTTTGTATGGAACGGGGCGGGAAGAGGGGATATGGCAGAATACACGAGGGGTGAAGGTGGAGGGCATGTATGGGAGGAGTTAGGCAGAGTGAGTATAGGAGTGAGCCGGGAAAACAGGGGCGAGCAGAGGGGGTAAGAGAGCGTGAAGGGGAAAATGGGTGAGAAATGGGGAAAGTGGGGTGAGCACAAGGGGAGTGAGCAGAGGGAAAGAGAACGAACAGGGGAAAGAGATTGAGGGGGGAAGCGAGTGAGCAGGGGGGAAGAGAGTGGGGGGAGGGGGGAGGGGAGAGTGTGAGCTGGGTTAAAGAGAGAGAGCAGGGGGGAAGAGAGTGAGCAGAGGGAAAGAGAGAGAGCAGGGGGGAACGGTTGAGTGAAGGGGGGAAGAGGGGTGAGAACAGGGGGTGAACAAGAGAGGAGAGAGTGAAGGGTGGGGAAAAGAGTGGGCAGGGGGGAAGAGAGTGAGCAGTGGGAAAGAGAGTGAGCAGGGCGAAAGAGAGTGAGCAGGAGAGAGCGAAAGGCAATGGAAGGGGAAGTGAAGGCAACGGGTGGGGAAGCGAGTGTGAAGGGCGGGAAAGCGAGTGCGGCATGCGGGGAAGGCGACCGGAGGGGGAATTGAACGCATCGGGGGGGGGAAGTGAAGGCGACGGAAGAGGGAATTGAAGTAGACGGAAGGGGAAATTGAAGGCGAAGGGAGGGGGAAGAGAAGGCGATGGGAAGGGGAAGTGAAGGCGACGGGAAGGGTAAGTGAAGGCGACGGGAAGGGGAAGTGAAGGCGACGGGAAGGGAAAGTGAAGGCGACGGGAAGGGGAAGTGAAGGCGACGGGAGGGGGGGAAGTGAAGGTGACGGGAGGGGGGGAAGTGAAGGCGACGGGAGGGGGGGAAGTGAAGGCGACGGGAGTGGGAAATGAAGGCAACGGAAGCGGGGGGAGGGGGGGGGAGTAGGGGCGACAGGGGGGAAGTGAAGGCGACGGGCTGGGGTCGCGAACGCGACGAGCTGCGGAAGCGATGGCAACGACGCTGGCGACAGAGAGCGGACGCGTGGGACATAGGGAAAGGAAGGCTAGGGCGAGGGGATTGTCACGCTTGGGCGAACAGGTGCGATTCGATTTTCGCCGCGAGATTACGCTACGCAGTAGTTGCACAATAACCTGCATTTCGACACAAAAGTCTTTACCTAGCGAACACTAGCTTTGCGCGTCATCACCGAAATCAGCGCCACCCACATTATAAGGCGCATCTGATCCCTTCTGAGTGAACGCCGACGCCCTGCCCTGTCTACAGGTATGCTCTAAGCCTAGTACCCTGCGTGCTATCTCAAACTGTGCACAGTTTGGTATGCACGCGCTTTTCTGGTTGTGGGAAGGACCCCACCCATCATGGGAAGCGAGAAACTTTTGTTGCGAATTGGTTTCGCGAGTGCAATATCTTCTGCTTCAGCTAAGGAGAGGGCAATCATTTCCTGTTTGCTCGATTGCCACGAGATAGGCCCGATAGGCTCGAGTCGGTAGATGTAGTCGGTGTGCGACCAACCATTGTCGGGATTGCCAGCGTGGTTTGCATCCACGTAGCCGATTAGCTTGGGCGTCGTGGTTTCGGTTTTGTGGTAGGTCAGGCCAATTGTCGGGGTGCTGACGAGGTAGTGAAGTGCGCGGTCGAGCTCCGCCATGTGTTCTGCTTCAGGCTTCTTGAGGTAGGTAGCGAGTTGGCTCGCTGAGTATGATAGGTCCGGTTGGCAGGTGACGGCTGCGAAGAGCAGGCATCCCAGCTTTCGCTGATAATCGCGTATGCCGGCGGGTTTGAGCGGAGCTGTTGTTTCCTTCTGATTTCTGGTGGTGTAGCGGTATGGCATAGAGATAGCGACTGGGGTAAGTCCGAAGCGTTGGCGTTCTCTCCTTCTTGTCTGTTGAGCTTGAGGTACTGTGTTACGGTGGAGGAGACGGTGAGTGTAAGATCCCGTTGAAGCTCCCCTTCGAACCAGGTCGTGATGCCGTCGGTCGAGCCGATGTAGAGCAAATCGTCCATGTAGACGATGAGCAGGATGTAGTCAGTGCCTTTCGTAAGTCGGTACATGCCTTGGTCGTGCGGTAGTTGGCGGAATCCGATGCGCATTAGTCGAGCGTGTAGGAACTGCTCGACGAAAATCTCAGCATCAACGGGAGCGTAGAGAAAGGCGTTGGCGACATCAATTTGTCGGAGCTTCTTCCGCTTCATGGCAGCAATCGTGAGGAGAATCCGCAGTGAGGTGTGTCGGCTGACCGGCACGAATGTTTCGGTGAATTCTCATCTGTGCTCTTGGTCGAAGCCGTGTACGACCTAGCGTGCTTTTAACTTGTCGATGGTTCCATCTGCCTTTGTCTTCATGCGAAAAACCCACTTCCCAGTGAGTATTGTCTTGTTGCGTGCCACTCCAATGGGTACGACCTTCCACGTGTTGCGTTCTTCCAGTGCCTTTAATTCTTTATCCTTGGCTTCGCGCCATTTTCCCCAGTGCTCCCCCCCCCCAGAGCCTTCTGAACCGTGGCATGCTCCTTAGGCGGTGCTGTTCCGTGGACGGCGGTGACAAGTCCCAGTATATACAGCCCACTCTGTGTGTAGCGAGGGAGATTTGTGTCCTCGGGATAGGCTACTTCTTCTCCCGCTTCTAGATCAGGTAAGAGGTTGGGGCCTACGCGTTCCAAAACGTTGGTGTCGTCTGGCTGGGGTGTAACGTAACCGTTGTCGGCGAAGTCACAGTAGACTTCGGCGTTGATACTTTTGCGAGGGTTGTCGTCGTCCATGGGGACGTCCACTGAGCAGTACGGAAGAGGTCTGGCTTCCTCCAAGGCTCTGTCCACATTTTGCTCGTCCCAGTCAGTTTCGTCTGCTACTAAAGCAAAGGCTCGATCACCATGAAATCCGCCTGTGGGGTCTCGTTCTTCTTCCAGGTTGGCAAGGTATGTCGGGAGGGTGAGTCATTCGTAGAAAGTCACTTCACGTGCTGCTACTATTTCCTTCGAGTGGATGTAAAAAATATTCCACGCGTTGTAATGTTTTTCGATGCCCAGGTGTACTCCCCATTGTGCGCGTTAAGAGAATCGGCCGGCTCGTGCGGTCGGGGGTCGGTACTGTACCATGCAGCTAAACACTCGCAACAATTTTGTGCTGCCCAATTTTCCTATCCACATCAGATGCGGTGATGCGTTGTTCGGGAGCGATGATGACGAGAGCAAGTTGTGCAGCATCACAGCTGATGGAAAGCGGGCGAATCTGGAAAGCGTACAAGAGATTAAGTCCGCCGACTTCGACGGAACATTGTCTGCAACTCACATTGCGTGCAACTCATGACCAGGTATGCGATTGAAAGGGCTTAATCTCTACTTTCCAGAATGGTAACGCACGCCTTCAACCAAGATCTAGGCTGATCGCTATCACGATTTAAGTGCGACGGGGTATCCTGGCAAAATTACTTGGTAGCCATGGATTACATCAAGAGAGTAGCTTTAGCCAGAGTTCAGATCTGAAAAGTGACGAGTTGTTCAAACCCGACCAACCCAACCCTCGCCCTACAACAATCCTCAACAACCCAAAGTGCTAAACTAGCAACACCAATAGCAAAGGTTTGTTGGTGCTTGTTGGGTGAGAGATCAATTCCAGCCGCAACAAGTCTACCCACCACATTTTGCTCAAACCCTTAGCCCACAACCAGCTAGAGCAAAATACCACAACCACCTACACAATTAACAGTCCCCCTTGCTCGTGCTGCAGGTGGCTGAACACCACTGGGCAAAATCCTTCACTTCATCTCCCCCTTGCCCAGGGAGGGGCGCCATCCACAGCATGAGGTTGTCAAGGTAGAGAAGCACCAGTCCTCCCACATCCTACTCAGGCACCATGCTGACATGGGGCTGCATCCCCATCAAGGACATGCACACACCATGCCGCTCAAAAGGGAGAGGTTTGGTGAATATATCTGCTGCTTGACGGTTGGTGGGGCACCACCGGAGGATCACCTCGCCGCACGCCACCATCTCCCTGATGAAATGCCACCAAACCTGCATATGCTTGGTGCGGCCATGCAAGCATGCATTCTGTGCAAGGGCAATGGCAGACTGGTTGTCCACAAACACAGGCACACCACCAGCAAACTCATGCCCAAACTCCCCAAACAAACGCTTCAGCCACACACCCTCCTAAATGCACTGACACAGACTAATGTACTCACTCTCAGTGGTGGACATGTTAGAAGGAAATGCTGCCATGAGCAACAAAATGTCTGCGCTGGGATTCGAACTCGTGACCTTCAAATCTGTCCTAAAAGTGTCTCAGGACAGATTCAGGACAGTTTCTGCTAAGGCGCTGGTTATGGTGCACACGAGTTTCGAACAGGAGACCTTTTGATTCAAGTGTCCCAAAAGTGTCTTGTCAGGACAGATTGGGGACAGTTTGGCGAAATCGATCTCGGGTCGCGTTCGGTTTGAAACTCGGTAGCGAAGTGTCGAAGTCAACAGAATTCGCACGGGAGTTACAGTCGGTGGTCGACGGAATTCTTGTCGCGGAAATTCTCGTCCACCGAATTTCAGTCAATAGAATTTGCTCGACGAAATTCAAGGCTCCGAATTTCGCGTCGACGAAATTCAACGTGCGACCCGGGTCGACACTATCTTGTGTGCTTTTTTTTTTGTATTGCATCCTAGTATAAAACCAGAGAGCACAAACCAGAAATCAACCAAGTCATTATCACTGCTATGTTTGTGGGTATCTTTGGCTATAGTGGATCGTTTCCTGTAGTCTTTGGTGCGTTGGAATCGTGCTTCTGAGCTCTATCAAGCTGCTATAGTAGTGGAATTGTACATGGTATCAGAGCTGCGTTATCTGCGTCGATCCAACTAGCGGCTTGATTTTGTCTTCCCATCACTTCGTTCCCACGTTGGTGTGGCCGACGCTCGTTTTGACTGCGCATGGAGTGGTTAACGAGCGCTGAGGGTCTGAATGTCCGTCAGGAGCTGGAGGCGTCCGTTCGTGAGCACCGCCCTTACTTGCGTGATGAGGAGGTCGACCTTATTGTAGATGGTCGTCTACAACGCATGGTTCGGGAGCGCGCGGCGGAGCAAGCACCTGCGAGCGGCCAGCAAGGAGGAACCGGTGAAGGAGGAGCTGTGCACGAGGCTCCAAGTGCTGTTGGCATTGGTGGAGGAGCTCTTGCACCGACCATTGACACGGGAATGATCGGCACGAGCTATGGCCAATTCAAGTTTGGAGTTGAGCACATCTCGGTGACGCTGCTGCTTGAGGGAAGGCATGACCTTACCGCGTGGGTCAGTGCCATCCGACCTCAGCTCCAGTGTGCTGATTTGTGGCAGTTTTGCAACGGGACAGCACCAAGCCCGGCCCCAAAATAACCCCTTGCAATGAAGGGAGAACGCAAAGGGCCAAATGCTTGCATTCATGGTGCCGAACCGATGTGTTTCTCCACCCATCCGAATGTCCATCTCTGGTTTCTCTCAGCAAGAGAAAGCCGGACAGCTAGCATGGGCATATATCTTGTCTACTTATCAAGTTCGTGATGCCCTCCACGCTTCCCTACTTCAGACCCAGTTAGCCCACCTCAGGAAGGGAGACGATGAGACAGCGGAATCCTACTGCAATAGGGCCCACACCATCCGAGCGGAGCTGCTGACCATTGGACAAGAGGTCCACATGGCCACGTTTGCCGCCCACGTGCTGAAGGGCCTACCACCGGAATACGGATTTCTTCGCCGCAAGCTCAAAATTTCCAGCCCTGACATGATGGTGGAACGCGTGTGCAGCGAGGTGTTGAGGGAGGAGCAGACTCTCTCCATCAAACAGAGTTACAAGCAGATCACCAGCGATGCATCTACTTTCTCGGGCGCTGTCAACACCATCGTGGCTACAACGGGGGTCAACGGGAAGGAAGGAAAAGAGGGAAGGGAGCAGACGGACAAGAAGAAGGATGGCAAGCGGGAGAAGAAGCGAGCCCCCTTCAAGGGGCGCTGCTACAACTGCAATGAGGAGGGGCACATGGCTGCCAAGTGCCCCAACAAGAAGAAAGATACAACGCCCGTGGCAGCCGTGAACGTAGCTGAAGGAGACGGGAAGGGCGTGGCGCTCACCGTCGCGTGTTCGGCTGCAAAGTTGCTGGCCGACGACAAGGACTTGTGGTTCCTTGACTCAGGATGCTCCCAACACATGACCGGCCTCAAGGAGTGGTTCACGGTGATCCGTGACCCATCTGCAACGAAATCAGTCAAAGGGTTTGATGGTTCTATGCAGGAAGTTGCCGGTGTTGGTGAGGTTTTGCTGGAGGGCACTAACGGCTTGCGTGTGACCCTACATGATGTCCTCTTTGTGCCAGGAATGAAGGCCAACTTGGTCTCCCCTTGGCAGCTCTTGGACAAGGAAGCAAAGCTGCAAACCGAGGAAGGTGTCACTCGCATCATCGCATCAGGAGGTCAAGTGGCTACAACGGCACGATATCGCCATCGCCTTCACTGCCTTGACCTGGATCCAGGGCCAGCAAGGAACGGTGCAACGGCTGCAGCGGCATGCACCGATATGGCGGGTGGAGCGGCGAGCAACGGCACAGGGGCTGCATTGGCATGCAACGGCACGGCAAAGGAGATCGCTGATGCGGCGTCAAACAAGCCAGAAGCTAAAGATGGAGCGGCCAGCCTCAAGACGTACGCGGTGGGCTCCAAGGCAACGCCCAACCTATGGCACGCTCGCCTTGGACACGTCCACTTCGATGCGGTGAAGCGGACAGCCACGAGCGGTGGCGTGTTCAGTATGGATCTGGAGAAAGGATGTGAGGATATGCCGTGCACCTCCTGCCATGAAGCCAAACTCACTCGTGAATCATTTCCGCTGCACGACGAGCGAGAGGAGCAGGTACTTGGGCTGGTCCATACTGACGTGTGCGGTCCATTTCCAACCCTAGCCATGGATGGAAGCAGGTACTACATTCTTTTTGTCGACCACGCCTCACGTTACACCTGGGGGAAGATGTTGAAGCTGAAGAGCGACGCGCTTGCTGCTTTCAAGGAATGGCTCCCCGAAGCTGAACGCCAAACCGGCATGACGCTGAAGGTGTTGCGGTCAGACCGGGGAGGGGAGTTTATGTCGAATGAGTTTCTGTTGCTGCTGAAGCAACGAGGAATTTTACATCAACTCTCCTGCCCCTCGACCCCCCTGCAGAACGGTGTGGCTTAACGCCGCAACCGTACGGTAACCGAGGGCATGCGTGTGATGCTGGGGCACATGGGGATAAAAGCACACTGGTGGCACTTCACTTTCCAGCAGTTCTTGTGGATGGTAAACCGTGTGCACCAATCCACCCTGCCCCATGGTGTGACCCCTCATTTGGTGGTGTTCAAAGTCAAGCCCGATGTGTCCATGGTCCGTGTGTTCGGGTGCATGGTGCAGTACCTCATTCCTGAGCATGAGCGTGAGGGGAAGCTTGCAAGCAAGACTCGTTGGGGCATTCATTTGGGCAAGAGCATGGAAAATAAGGGATGGCGTGTGGTGGATGTTGAGTCAAAGCGCATGGTCATCACCGGGATGCACGTTTTTATGAGGACATGTCACTTGAACGGTGGCAGAAGTGGCGTGCACGCGTGGGTGACGGGAATGACCAGCCCACACCACCCTTTGCTTCAGTCCCATCTCTCTTCCCTGAGCCCCACGACCCCGAGCAGAATCCACCGCCACCACGTACTGTCATCGTGGTCCCGGTACCGTCTGTACAAGGGGGCGAGAAACCCCTTGAACGCTCGGTGGGCCCTTTGAGCAGCAAGGCGCCTACTGCACCTCCTCCTCTTGGTCCACCCTCCGTTGCTGATTCGGCGCTCGTAGGACCAGAGGATGGTCCTCTGGAGGTTGACACCAGCATGGCTAATCACGAGGAGGAAGAAGAAGTAGCAGTGGATGAGCAGTCACCAATGGCCCATGAGCATGAGCCTTCACTTGCAGTTCCCCCTTTCCAGCCCATTCCACCACCCCCACGTCGCTCCACCAGGCCTAACAAGGGGGTGCCACCCATACGGTTTCAGCCATCAGCCATGACGGCCCTGTATGCAGATGATGAGGACAACCCGTACGACGTGGCATACCTTGCTGAGGACTAGTGCGACACGGACAGCGATGACGAAGTGGAATACCCGGACGAGGATGAGGAGGAGGAAGGCGCTTGGGGAGGTGTCATCCTCGACCTGGCAGTTGTGTTGACCGGACCTGAAGGCAAGGAATGGTGGGCTGCTATGAAGGAGGAGATGGAGAGACTTGATGAGCAAGGCACTTGGACGTTGGCTGACCTACCTGAAGGTCGCAAAACCATCGGCGTCAAGTGGCTGCTGAAGAAGAAGCTGCGGCCTGATGGCACCGTGGAGAAGTACAAGGCCAGGCTAGTGGCTAAGAGCTTTAGCCAGCGATTCGGCATCAACTACGACGACACTTACGCTCCTGTTGGCAGCTACACCACCGTTTGCGTGCTCCTCTTGATCGCAGCAGCTATGGACCTGGATTTGCTGCAGCTTGATGTGAAGAATGCATTTCTTCGCAGCACCATCGACCACGAGATCTACATGCAGCAGCCGCCTTACTTCACCGACGGTAGCAGCAAGGTGTGCCTCCTGCAGAAAAGCCTTTACGGGCTAAAGCACAGTCCCATTTGTGGTACAAGGAGCTGGACAAGGTGCTCCTTGTGGGGGGGTACAAGAAGAGCCTTGTAGACCAGGCCCTATACTACAAGGATGGGGAAAACGGGAAGCGCGTGTGGCTGCTAATCTACGTGGATGACCTGCTAGCGGCAAGTGAAGACCAGCAGTTTCTGCAGAACCTGAAGGGGCTGTTGGCCAAGGCGTTTCAGCTCCGTGAGGTGGAGCCAGTGGAGCGCTACCTGGGACTGCAGATTGAGCGAGATTGCCCCAACAGGACACTCTTCCTGCACCAGAATGCGTACGTGGCGAAGGTGCAGTAGCGGTTCTTCAAGGGGGCGCCACCAAAGAAGCAGCCGATAACTCCTCTCTCCTCTGCCAGCTTTGCCAAGCAGGATGCCGGTTAGTTTGCCAACCATACCATGACCGAGTACTTGTCAATTCTCAGCATGGTGCAGTTTGCAGCCATCTCAACCCGTCCTGACCTCTCTTTTGCATGCAGTCGCCTTGCAGCAGGTGCACACCTCAGGACCGATGCGCATTGGCATGAGCTCTTCCGCACACTCTCCTAATGAGCTGCCTCACCGGACAAGGGGCTGCTGTTCAAGGGAGGACCAGAGAGTTTGACTCTCGTAGGGTATGCAGATGCGGATGATGCAGGCGACAAGGAGAACCAGTTGTCCACGGGAGGCTCCCTCTTCAAGCTTTGCGGAGCTGCTGTTTCATGGCAGGCCAAGCTACAGGGTGCAACCAAACTTTCCTCCACCGAGAGCGAGCTTGTGGCTGCGGTGGAAGCGGGAAAGGAGGGGCGCAAGCTAAGGTTCTTGCTGTGGGAGTTTCAACTGCTCAAGAAGGGTGTCCCCACCACCCTGTATGTCGACAACATGTTAGCGGTGCAGCTCAGCTAGGCGGCGCATGAAGCATGTTGACCGTCGCCACATGTGGCTACATGACATGGTGCGCATGAAGAAGTTGGAGGTGCAGCAGATCCCTACAACGGCGCAGCCCGCGGACTTCTTCACAAAGCGGCTCGACAAGGCAGCCTTCAACCGATGCTGTGCAGCAGCCGAGCTGGTCCAGCGTGCTCTTGACACCAAGGGGGCGAGTTAGAAGGAAATGCTGCCATGAGCAACAAAATGTCTGCGCTGGGATTCGAACTCGTGACCTTCAAATCTGTCCTAAAAGTGTCTCAGGACAGATTCAGGACAGTTTCTGCTAAGGCGCTGGTTATGGTGCACACGAGTTTCGAACAGGAGACCTTTTGATTCAAGTGTCCCAAAAGTGTCTTGTCAGGACAGATTGGGGACAGTTTGGCGAAATCGATCTCGGGTCGCGTTCGGTTTGAAACTCGGTAGCGAAGTGTCAAAGTCAACAGAATTCGCACGGGAGTTACAGTTGGTGGTCGACGGAATTCTTGTCGCGGAGATTCTCGTCTACAGAATTCCAATCAATGGAATTTGCTCGGCGAAATTCAAGGCTCCGAATTTCGCGTCGACGAAATTCAACGTGCGACCCGGGTCGACACTATCTTGTGTGCTTTTTTTTTTGTATTGCATCCTAGTGTAAAACCAGAGAGCACAAACCAGAAATCAACCAAGTCATTATCACTGCTATGTTTGTGGGTATCTTTGGCTATAGTGGATCGTTTCCTGCAGTCTTTGGTGCGTTGGAATCGTGCTTATGAGCTCTATCAAGCTGCTATAGCAGTGGAATTCTACAGGACAATGCAACCACCGGCTGCCTCCTACTCTGCCAAGAGATGTCTGCACCATTAAGGCTATAGACATAGCCGGTGTGACTCTTGTGATCAGCTGAATCTCCAGCATAATCAGCATCACTAAAGCACACCATCTCAACCTGAGGCTTGCTGTGTGCGGGGTAGAAGATACCTGACTTGACAAGACCTTTCAGGTACCTTAGCACTCTCTTAGCAGCCTACAAGTGAAATTCCTTGGGACAAGACACCACCTTGGACTGCAGTGTCACTGCATAAGCAATCTGGGGCTGCGTGGTTATGCTTGCATACACGAGAGACCCCACAATGCTTTGATAGAGCTGGACCAGCTCATCTCGCAGTAAGGGCCCCTCAGCATGTGCATCCACATCGAACCCTGTAGGGAGAGGGGTACGCACGGGGTTAGCCTTAGAAAGGCCAAAGGACTCAAGCATGTGCCTCTCCTGATGAATCAAGATGCCACTCTCATCACGCTCAATCTGCACCCCCAAATAATACTTAGCCTCCCCCAAGTCCTTCATGCAGAAACGAGAGGACAAGAGACCCTTCACCTCGTCAAGCAAGACCATGCTCGAAGACATGAGAAGAAAGTCATCCACATAGAGGTAGAGGGACAGCCTGCCCTCACGACTCACCAAGTGGTACAAGGCGGGGTCACACTCCGACCTCTCAAACCCAAAATCCATCAGCGCCTCATCAAACTTGAGGTACCACTGCCTTGGAGCTTGCTTTAGCCCATAGATTAATTTCCTGAGTCGGCAAGCTCTGCCGGACCCATCATCAAAACCAGGTGGCTGCCTCATGTAAAGCTCTTCCTTCAAGACCCCGTGAAAATATGCAGTGGTCACATCCATGTGATGGATGTGAAACCCCAAGGATGCTGCCATCCCAAGGGAACCTCTCAGGGTGGTAGGTTTACCCACTGGGGTATATACCTGGTCATAGTGAACACCTGATGTTTGAGTGTTCCCCATGGCCACCAACCTGGAATTAGGCCTCTCAATACTCCCATCAGCCATGTGCTTATACTTCCACACCCACTGACACCTTAAGAACTCCATTCCAGGTGGCACACAAGCTGGATCAACCAGCTCAAAAGACTCGTTCACCCTATGAGACTCAAGCTCCTCACGCATGGACTCGACCCACTTAGGACGGGACAATGCCTCCTTGACCGACTTAGGCTCATGCACCTGACCCATGCGACAGAAATCAAGCCAAATCTCACCCCCCTCAGCATCCACAAGCATGCACTCCTCCAAATCATGCACCTACATGCAAGCATACTATGTAGTTGGTGTGAAACTTTCAGGTGGCCGGGAGATGCATATGGTGTGGCGCAGAGGTGATGCCTCCTCCTGCTCCAAACTTTGCAGCTTCTCCTTCCAAGTCACTCTCTTCATGGGGGACCGTATGCTCTTGTGGTGGCTGCTGCGGCTTCTCTTGTTGGTGCTGCTGCCCCTATGGCTGCTTTTGGTCATGTGCTGGTGCGTTAGGGTCAGGGGTAGAACCAGCAGTTGGTGACTCCTCATGGTGAGGTGCAGGTGCCTTTTGTTCCTCTTGCTGCTCCTCTACCTCCTCTCCAGGGTCCTCCCATGCCCCCTCAAAGATGGAAGAGGTGTAGGGATCCTAGAGGGAGCTCCCAACTGTACTAGCACCATGCTTCTTCCACCCCTTGTAGCTCAGCCCTTCGTGGAAAACCACATCCCTGCTTTCCACCACCCGCTGATATGCCACACTCCACAACATCCAAGCTTTGCTCCTCTCCAACACCGCGAGAAAAAATGCCCCATTGTGCCTTAGGATCCAGCTTCCTCCATTGCTGGTCGGGCACTTTGTACTGCGCCATGCACCCCCACACATGTGCCATGGACACACTAGGCACCTTCTTGGTCCACATGAAGTAAGGGCTCTTGCCCCCTAGCCCCTTGCTGCCCATTCTGTTCTTAACCCAGTTGGCATATTCCACTGCTGCCCCCCACCAAGTATGGTCCAGCTGCGCATGAGCAAGCATGGCTCGGGCAAGGTCAATGAGGGTCCAGTTTAGCCGTTCCACTGCCCCATTTTTCTGCGGCGTGTAGGCAACTGAAAGCTGGTGGGTGATGCCTTTGTCTTCAAGGAAAGACTCCATATCCTTCCCCATATACTCCCCACCCCGATCAGACCTTAGTATCTTCACCTTCGCCCCGGCTTCCCTCTCCGCATAGCGTATCCAACGCTTGAAGACCTTGGCCACCTCATCCTTGGTTTTCACCAAGGTAACCCAACTCAGGTGGCTGAAGTCATCCAAGAAGGTGATGAAGTATTTGCTGCCCTTCTCCCTATCCGGTGTTTGGATGGGGCCACACACATCCATGTGCACCAACTAAAGATTTGCGGAGACTCTAGTGGTAGAGGTAGGGAAAGAGGTCCTTGGCAGCTTCCCGGTCGTGCAATCAGGGTACTTGCTTGGCTGCCCGCCACCCTCCTTGATCTCCACACCCTTCAGCTCCCCCTTCTTCACACACTCCACAATTTACTGCCTTCCCGCATGCCCCATGCGTAAATGCAGCAAATCTGCCATCACCTGCTCCACGTCCCTCCAACGGGTGCTACAAGCAGCTTCCTTGGCTTCAACACCATGTGCCCTCTCCACGTGAGACACACAAACTGGAACAAGGTATAGACCCTTCTCTATCTTTGCCTCCATCACCACAGCTCCACCCTTGCGAACTGTGCACCCTTCCATGGTGAAGGT